ACTAAAACAAATATATATATAATACTAAAGCAAATATAACATTTCTACTTCACAGTTTTTCACTTATCACAGGGGTGTCCGGAAAGTAACCCCTGCGATAATTGAGGTACTAATGTACAGAACACTCAACTGCTTTGGTTGATAACAATATGTAGAAATACAATAAAAGCTGATGAAATAGACTCTTACCTGCACAGACAACTGCAGCATCACGTTCATGCCCACACGTTGATGGTCTGAAACCTTTTTGTGTGCACTGCTGAAGAGATGTCACATTGTCGAAGCACGAATTGCTCGCCTCCACCACCGACCCGTTGCCCTTGCCAAACTCGGCAACTCCAGGAGTATTCAGCGCATTGCCACACTCCAGCAATGCACACAGCACCTCAGCTTTACTTTGGGTCCAGTCCGCATCACAAACTGTTTGCCACGTGTCACCATTACGAACCTCCACTCTACCGGAACACTCGTCTTTGCCGTTGGCCAATCGGGCCGCCAAGCTTCCTGTGAAAAGTCCAGTAAAATGTAACAACATGACGACAAAATGTAATGAAAACAAACAGTGGTGACTTTAATGTCCACTAAATGTATTGAACTAAATTTCCAAAAGGTAAAATTAAATGAATCTTAACTTGCAATGCAGAGCTGTTTAAATAAAAAATGATCATCAACTATAATAGTCTTTTAGGTGGGGTGGGGGGTCTCTTTTCTTACCTGTACAAACAACACCCGCTACAGAAGTTGTGTTGCAGGTTCTGCCCACATATGGTCTTTGTGGGCATTGAGAGAGTGTGGACTCCCTTCCATTGCATTCAATTTGTTCAATCCAGGTCAGTCCAGAGCCGTGGCCGTACTCAGACATGGTGGTAATCTTGTGTGCATTCCCACAGTCCAGCTGTTTGCACACCACAGAAGCATCAGTTGTGTCCCAGGATTCTCCGCACACTGTCCCCCACCGGCCCTTGTCAAAAAACTCCACTCTTCCTGCACAACGATGTGGCCCATCAACCAACTTCACATTTCCTGGAAATTACAGAAAATAATCCCTTATATGTAAAAACTGGCATTTTTGCCCATTTTATTTCCACACATCAACATTTAGAGCCACATTTAAATCACACAGTACTGCTTTAAAAATATTTTCAATGTTTCATGAATTAATTTTAAGCTTTCTGCATGTGTTAATGTTTTGTCCCTTCTGTGTTCATCTGACACAACTACAGTGACTACTTGTAAAAAAAATTGGTCTTCTTACTCACTAACATAATCTACAACCCGAATTCCAAAAATGTTGGGATGTTGTGTTAAATGCAAATAAAAACAACCAAAAAAAATGCAATAATTTGCAAATCTTATACAATCTTTTTAAAATTAACAAAAGAACATAGTAAACATATTTGATTTTTAAAATAGAAAATTGTAAAATTATCAGGAAAAAATATATAATTTTGAACTTGTTTGCAGCAGCACATCTGAAAAAAAGCTGCAACAGGGGTCAAGAAGATTATGAAAGTAATGATAACAATAGGAAACAGCTGGGGGAACATTTTGGACATAATTAGATTTTGGTAAATGGTAAATGGACTGTACTTATATACTGTAGCACCTTTATATCTTTTCAAGATACTGGTACTCAAAGTGTTTTACAATACAATCAGTGCCCTCATTTATCCATTCATACAGCACTCTACTACATCTCTACAAATACTAATCAGTGCTTTTAGATTACTTTCAGTGTCTTGCTCAGAGACACTTCAGCATGCGATTGCTGGTGGAATAGAACTTCCAACTCTCCCACTGGAGGACTTCTCTAACCACTCAGCTAAAGCTTGTTAATTGGCAACAAGTCAGTAAATAAAACAATAAATATGAGTCGTCTATAGAACTCGGCTTGCCAACATTAAATGTCTGCAGTGCTTTACCAAATGGTAGCATTTGTTATCTAAACAAAAGGGGTCCAAGAACTGACTCTTGAGGAATCCCACAAATCAAAGTCACTTGATCGGACTCATGACTTCCAATAGTTAAAAAAAAAAAAAGTCTCCAGTCCTCCAGGTAGGAACTGAAAATTTTAGTACTGTGCAACTGAGTTCAATGTTTCCAGCCTGTTCGACAATACATTATGATCAACAGCGTTAAATGCGGCACTAAGATGGAAACGCAAGAGGTTTGACACCTTAGCTGAGTCAGTATTCAACCGTAATATTTTAACGAGTGTTGATTCTGTAATTTGATAAAGTTAGAACCTTGACTGAAGTTTATCCAAAATTCCCTTAGGGTTCAGAAAATTGTGAATTTGATCAATACTATTTTCTCAACGATCTTGGCTATGAAGGGAAGATTTAAGATACCCGGTAGGTCAGTTAACTGACAGAGAAGTATCCAAATTTATTTATCTTTTTAATAGTGGTTTAATATTAAGCCCTTTTAAGGATTTAGGAAATTATTTATTATTTTCTCATAATAATAAATGCATTTATTAGAAACTTTGAATAAATTTCAGAATATGTTTTAAAAAGTGAAACTGTATTATGTCAAGACAACAAGTTGATGGTTTAAGATGCTGGATTGTTTCCTCAATACTTTTTGATCAAGACTATATATATATATATATATATATATATATATATATATATATATATATTGGAGCTACCTGATTAGGAGGATTGGTAAATTTATCAACCACAGCAAACACAATACAAGGCCCAAAGTCAACAATAGATGCCTGTGATGCCCTCAGGTGACACTACATTAAATGCAGGTCTGATTCTATTCTGGACGTCACTGCATGGGCTCAAGAACACTTCCACAAACACTTTTTCTGTAAACACGGCTTGTCATGCCATCCACAAATGTTGGTGAAAGCTCTATCGTGCAAAGAAGAACCCAAACGTTAACATTATCCAAAAAGGCTGTCAACATCTCAGGGCCAAAACTAATTTAAAACGGACTGAGGCAAAATGAACAACTGCTCTATGGTCAGACAAATAATGCATTTTTCTTTTCTTTAAGGAGCATCCAGCCTGCTACAGTTTAAAGTCTCCTTCTCTGATGGTATGGGGGTGCCGACATATACTCCCACCCAGATGATATCTGTTTCAGGGAAAAATGGGACAACATTCCCCTCAAAATCTTTAGCAACTACCATAGTCTCAGTTCTTAGACATTTAGACTGTTGTTAACAGAAGAGCGTAAACAACATTTTTAAGATAGATTGCTGTAAAACCCCAAATTTACTTGTTTTATCTTTTTTTAAAAAAAGTACATTTATCAGTTTAAACACTTGTTGTTTACTGTGTTTCATCATGAATAAAATGTAGGTAAATGCAATTTACAAATCACTGTATTCTGTTTTTATTTACATTTCACATAAGGCTTCAACTTTTTCTAAATTGGGGCTGTAAAAGAACATTACTGACTTTAGATAATGTGCACAATACATACCAGAACATTTGACAGATGCATCTACAATATTGTTGCTGGTCCTTGCGTAGTCTCTCAGTGTACACTGTGTGACAGAGCTCTCTCTACCATTACAACTCATCTTCAGTCCGCTGAAGTCTTTACTTGGAGAGAAAGATCCAGAAAACTTGTTAGGATCTCCACAGTTCATCTCCCTGCACACCACAGCAGCCTCTGCTGTTCCAAAGTTTAAATTGTATACTGGTGACCAGCGCTCATTTTGGTAGACTTCAACCCTGCCTGAGCACTGGTCAGTGCCATCAATTAGTCTGAGGTGATCTAAAAGAAACCAAAGTAGACAGAATCAGAAATTGATCACTGGATTCGGTGAATAATTTGAATTTGATTATGTACTGTTGGGTAAATAACTGAAATGCAAGTACCTGAACAAACCACTCCAGCATCTTCCCCATGGCCACAGTTGTTTTCTCCAAAGGCGGGTCGCTGGCAGTGCAAAAGGGATGTTTCATTGCCGATGCAGTTGACATCATCTAGCCAGATGCTTCCTTGGCCCTCGCCAAAGTAGCTTGAAGTTTTGGCTGTTTTAACAGTTCCACAGTCCATGGATCTGCACACCACTTGAGCATCTACGATGTCCCAATCATCATCACACACTGTTCCCCACTGGCCATCGTGCAGAATTTCTACTCTGCCAGAGCATCGGTCGGTGCCATTAACAAGCCTGATTGGTGGATTACCTGAGGACAAATCATGTTTAAAGCCCATTAATAGCACAATGTTTTAGTAAGTTTAATGCAATGCTACAGAGATCTTGATTAGAATTAGAATGTCTATCAATGTGATTTAAAAAAATGCTAATTTAAGAAGACATTGTACGTTTGAGCAATGTAATGTAATGTTTGTCTTATTCCCACTATACCTAAGTATTAATGGTGATAATATCCAAGAGAAATCCAGATTGCAAGACAGTCCATACCATGTAACTTGTATCATAATTGTACAAATAAATCTTCCAGCTGTCAATCTCTGTTTTATTATGAGGTAAAGAAAAAAAAATGGATCTGTAAAATGTAGTGTAATTACAGTTTTGCAAGTAGTAAATTGTTTATAAGGTGACAAAAACATTACATTAACATGAATATAAATCATTGGGAATACTCAGATAATAAACCCTGCTCTAAGAAGTGGCTAGTCTGACCCCAAAATGGCCTCCTCCTTAATTTTTCCAAATTGAAATCACTCTGACTGCAGTCTGCTGTAGTGAAGACACCAACCTCTCAAAAGTACTCCACACAACCCCAATTACAAGAACGGGGTTGTGTGGAGACCTAGACCAAAGTGAGTCTTTAAAGCAGCAGATGCAAGAGTTACAGGGGAGGGTAATCTTGCAAGAACTACTCAATCTATAGACCAAAACTAATCACTTTTTGAAAAGTCAGACTAGGAAAGTCAATCAAAGCATGCTGCACTGTGTAGTTTGTTTGAAGAATACAGAAAATTGTTTGTTGCTGCTTTTAAAAGACTTCAGTTTCATGGTACACCACTATTTTTGTGTCTTACCTGTACAAGCAACAGAAGCTCCATCACATCTCCCCATATGCTCTTCAAACGCACACTGGCTTAAAATGCTCACGTTAGTAGAGCATCGACTTATAAACCCTGGTAATGCACTGTCACCAAAATTGAAGGCACCTTGGGATTTCTTCGGAGCTCCACAACTGAGTTCCTTACAGACAATCGTAGTCTCTTTAACGCTCCAATTATTAGTGCAAACTTTCCCCCAGTGACCATTGTGGAAGACCTCCACTCTGCCAGAGCACCTGTCGGTCCCATTGATCACTTTCAACGTCTCTGGAAAACCAACAGGTAAAAATGTCAACTTTAACTTTGCATAGTTCTGAGACTTAAAAGAGTTACAAGTCACTTACCTGAGCACAAAACGCCAGCATCTTCGTTGTGGTCACAGTCGTGTTCTCCAAAGCCTCGATGCGGGCAGTCAGAAAGGGACTTCTCATGACCAATACACTCAACGTCATCCAACCAAACCTGATCGTGACCTCTTCCGTAGAAGGCCTTGTACTTTACAGCAAGAGCACTGCCGCAGTTCATCTCTCGGCACGTCACATCTGCTTCCTGAATCCCCCATTTATCATCACAAATGGTTCCCCACTGTCCTTCATGGTACACTTCCACTCGACCAGAACATCGATTAGTCCCATTTATCAGCCGTATTGGTTTATTGTCTGTTAGGTTGAAGGGAAAAATAGTTTTTTTTTATTTTATTTTATCAGACACTATGAAAGAAAATGACCACCTAATGATTTTAAAGTGACATCAAATGATTGATGACATTTTGTGGCATGACTTACTCATACAGGCAACGGTAGCATCAACACAGCTTTCCTTGAATTCTTGTAGCTGGCACTCAGAGATGGAGGTCTCATTCCCAATACAGCTGGTTTTGAGGCCTGACAGGCCTTGGCCCTCTCCAAAATACTGCGCTGCAGTTTGTACAGCAGGAGAACCACAGCTTAACTCGTGGCACAGCACGTTCGCTGCTTCTTTGCCCCAGTCGCTGCTGCACACTCGCTTCCACTGGCCTTCGAAGAAGACTTCCACTCTGCCAGTGCACCGATGGCTTCCGTTGACAATCCGTACATGCTCTAACGCACCAACAAATAAAGAAAAAAATGAAGTGCAAAGCTGCCAACTTTAATTATTCAAGATAAGTATGGGTAAAAAAGTGAGCGCACATAAAAATACCTATAGTCTCTGTAAAACAACCATAGAATGTATCAGGATCATTTTAAACGTGGTACGAGTACCACTGACTCATAATTCCTTTAGTGGTATTCAGAGATCATTTTAGTATCAACTTTTACAAGTAATAATAATGAGAGAATTAATTATATGAGTTGAACTATGCAAAAGAAAAAAGTAGATACACAAAAATAGTATTGGTTCAAGCATATTATATGTCTGTCTCCAAATCTCCAAATGAAGAAAAAGCTTGAAACAAAAGTGCAATGAAGAATCTTTTAGGCACTGAATTGGACAATAGCACCAGTGCAGTCTTTACTGAACCTGCTGGTAACAAGAAATCCAATCCAAGTGTTCATATTTGTATCCAGAAGAAGAGCTAAGACTGCAGCGTGTGTGATGATGTTCTCAGCAATGAAGGCTTGAAACCATCACATTTTAAAACACGACCTTCAACCAGGATTAGGCGTGTTTTTTGTCTTGATGGTTCCTCTTGAATAAGTCCAGTCATTAATGAAATAATCTACAGTAGGGAGTAATGCCAACTGAGATAGTTCTTTTGTTTTGGACAGATTATTTTAATAATTGAGATTATTTAGTGTTCCAAGTGCCTTTAGGTTCATTGTTAAAATGTTGACAGCTCAGGAATTTGGGGTGTTTCATTCATTACCATGAGCCAACCCTAAAACTCTAACACAAAAAGCCTAAATGGGTTTGTTGAAGATTAAGGTTAAAAACACAATTGAGTTTTAGGTTAAAGTACCAGTAAGGTGCTCAAGCAAACTGGTTAGTTTGTTCTGTGAAAGGTTTGAGAGCCCCTCTCTAAAAGAAATGCCTGATTAGCTTTTTGCAGGGTAGATTTCAAAAAGTTTATTCTTTAACCTTGACTAAAAAAAACATTAGAAATATACAAATACTGTAGATGATGTGGAGGGAAAAGCTATTATTTTAACAAAGAATGCTGTGAATTGTCTCACAGCATAAAGGTTGCAGGTTCAACACCTGGTTGCGTCTTTTTGTGTAGTGTTCTTCCTTTGCATGAGCGGGTTTTCTCTGGTTACTCATGTTTCCTCTTACAGCGTGAAAACAAGCATGTTAGTTCAACTGTCTACCTTAAACTGTGTGTAAATTGTCAAGTGACTGCTGGAGATGGCTCCTCGTCACATTGACCAGGAACAGGCAGGTAAAGAAAATGAAACGACAAAGGTTGTGAATGGATGGTTCAAACAAATCTACTGCTGTTTGCTGTTTCTTTTGTTTACGCTGCTTTAAAAAGGTCCCGAGTTGCCAGATAGGAAATGACAAACTATTGTACTGTCGCTTTAAAATGTATTTTCTTTCACGTTATCTATTGTATGTATGCGCTGGATGTAGGTGCTCTTTTTTGTTCTGGCTGACACGTTGTCCAGTTTTAAAGACTTTCCTTTTTTGATAAATCCTGTAATTAGGGTTGGCTTGTCAAGCTGTCTTAAGCGTAGACTACTAGAGGACAAATTGACCTCATTTCTTAAAACGAATTGTTGAAATTTAATAGTTTTCATTTGATATTATTTCTATCTCAACACGTGATTCTTGACCTGTCATTGTGTTTCTGTTCCTCCTTCCTGTCCTCTCAAACCCAGCCGGTCGAAGCAGATGACTGCTTGTCCTGAGCCTGGTTCTGCTAAAGGTTTCTTCCTCATGAGCGAGTTTTTCCTTTCCACTGTCGCCTTCATGCTTGCTCAAGATGAGAGTTGTGTGATGGAGTTAAACTCAAAGCAGTCTGCTCCTCAGATAAAGTCTTAAATTATTATTTTTACATATGGATGTTTCTGTTAACTTATTTTACATATTGATATTTCTGTTCAGTGCCCTGAGATGACTTCTGTTGTGACTTAGTATTATATATATAAACTGAAATGATTTAGACACGTTCTCAGCCAGGGGGGTGTGAGAGTTGGGGTGTTTGTGACTGCTGAACATGCACACAGGGGTGCAGCTGAGGGACTTTGCTCATGGACAACACACGGTTCTGATTATATGTGGGTGTCTACGTATTAAACAAGTTTTTTTGATTGGTGAACAGAAATGACAAAACCATTGTATATTTTAGAAAACGAACCTGTATTGTATAGACTAAAACAATTGTATACTTACAATAATTATTGTATATTTTGTAACACTGATTTATACAAACAAGGAAATGCAAAAAGGGCAAAAAAAACAAACAAAAAAAAAAATCTGAGTAAATGACCAAAAAGGGCAGTTGTCAGAAAACACAGGTACAGGGTCTGATAGTACCTCTTTGCTTGTCTTGTCATAGAGCAATATCTTTCACTAAAAATCAAAAATCTTCAGTCAACACCAATAAATATGATATGATATCACTGCCTACTATCGAACTTGCACATTGAAAGAAATAAACTTTTTGTAAAAACACAAAATAAACCTTTAGGGAAAAACTAGTAGACTTTTCCATTATTATGAACCAGATACCAACAAACTAGTTAACCACACAGTAGCCACTTATACAACAGTCAACATATTTTAGGGTAGTAATTGTGCATTTTGATTATCTGTGTGGAGCATGGCAAACATAATGAGAGAAGTTGGGCTTACCAGAACAGATAACTCCAGCATCTTCCGTATGACCACAATTATGGACCCCCAGTCCTTTGTGTGAGCACTTAAGGATGGAGGACTCGCTCCCGGTACACTGCACATCATCCAACCAAATCTGCTCCTTGCCCTCTCCAAAAAACGCATTCTTTTTGGCCTCCAGAACCGTGCCACAGTTTAACTCTCGGCACAGCACGGCTGCATTACTGATGCTCCAGTGGTCATCGCACACCGTTCCCCAGCTGTCCTCATAGAAGACCTCCACTCTGCCGGAGCAACGTGATGGTCCGACCAGTCTGATTTTTTCACATTCTTGAAGCAAAACACGACAGTTCAGAAGGTGCAGCTCATTGAAGACAATATATAAAAAATATATTTTAATAAAGGGTAACTCTGTATGACTTCAGTTAACTGTAAATGGGATTTATGTACCTGTGAGCAGCAATAGACTCAGCAAACCTAAAGCACAGAACCAAATATTGTAAATATTTGTAAAAATGTATGATTTGTACCAAATAATTATTAAAATACATCACATTACAAATTCATTTCACCTCAGAAAGTGAATAAGGTTCCTAAATCAATTTAATTGACAAAAAGGAGAGCATGTATTATTTTTCTAATGAAAAAGAAATTGATCTGTTTATTATTACTATTTTTTGTGTGTTAACCTAATTATTTTACTGTTTTATATTTGTGAGAATGAAGTTCAGGAAAGAGTAAAGTTGAAAAACATAAAAAAACAAACTATAATCTCACCTGTTATCAAAAGAAATGCCGATTTTTCCACAAAAAGGGAGCTCATAGTGTGTTCTCCAATCAGGCCCGATTCTGTAAAATTAATTAAAAAAAAAAAAAAAACAATAATGTGATTCCCTTACTCTAAAGTGTCTGTAGCTCATGGCATTGAGACATTAAAACACATTTTTTAAATCAACTCTTTTAGCAGTTTTCTATCTTTTTTCTAAAATCATAAAATAAAGTTATTTCCTCTTACCTTTTCTAATCTACCAAGTCTGATCTTTAGTGAGTTTAAAATGAAAATGTGATTATGTCCAATATATCCAAAGGACAGAAAGCCCATGCATGGTCAGAAAATGATATGAATAAAAAGGACAGTCTGGACTGGACTGCAATCTGGACACGTGTTGACATTTTGATCAATCATTAAAGACGAAACACAAAAAGAGATTTCACCGTTTTTACATAATAACTATGTATCTACTTTAAAAATATATAGATTTAAGGTCAAAATGCATTAACATTTATATTAGTTAATAAAATTGGATTATAAGTTGTAACTGTGTTGGTTCATATCGATAAATGGACATGAGAAAAGATCAGCTAAGAACTAATAGATCAAAAGAAAGTTTGTTTGAAGAGCAAAGCTCACGTGAATTTCACCTTTGAGCCTCACAGCTTGAATCGTACCAGTTCAGTCCAAACTGTTGCCATCTTTTGCAATGGTTTCTTTTTTGTTTATAAAATGGTACCACAACCATCTCACTACTTATAAAGTTCTGCAAAGCAAACCTGAAGCTGATGCTGCACCCTCTAAAAACCGATGTTCAAAATACACATTTCTGTATCAAGGGAACGTTGGCACCATTATTTGGTGTAACCATTCAAATTTTCCCGTTCGCAAAATAGTGTTGTATATTTAGCTTCATTGTAAATATAAAGTGTCATATTTTTGGTTCTATATGAAAGACCGATAACAGTAAAGAGCATTATTGTCTCTCATGGACCAGTAGGCAGATTTTAATGAAACCCTCAGAAAGTATTAGATGTACATCCATAACTGGAGTCGACCTGATACAAGATGGCCACCACTGATAATCAGCCTAAACTTAGTACATATATTTGGTAAGTTGTTGTAGGCGGTAGCTGAGAGTCATCCCTGGGGGAGTGGTGGTGCAGAGATTAGAGAAGGCTGCGATCGAGAGGTCGTGTTTGAATCCTTTGACTGTTACAACCGAAAATTTGGGTGGGAACGGTGAAGCAGCCACATCTGCCTTCACCTTCATTTGTTCCACTCTGGGCCCTTGAGAAAAGTCCTTAACCTCCACCCCCACATCTTCTACCCTGGGGCTCCTTCGGTGACAGCCCTCTGCTCCACACATGTGGGCTGTGGTAGCTCGGTGGTGTGTGTTTGGCAAATCTATGTGCGAGTTTTCTCGCCGTGGCGACTCCTGAAGAAGAACAGGCCCAGGCCTCCCTTTCAAAACAGATCTGTGATCTAATTGGAGTCTCCCTGATTGAATAAAGGTTAATAAAGTTCCAACAAGGCCTTTATTCAAAATCTTGGCAGTGATTGTTAAGGTTAATGCTGCCTGTCAGCAAAATATCCCACAAAGCAATGGACAGATTTTAGTGAAACTCTCAAAAAAATAATCATTGGATGTTCAACTGAGTCAAGCCATTTCGAAATGGTCACCACAGCTAACCAAGTCTTACAAATTTCAAAATAGCTATAATACAGTTAATTTACTGATATAAAATTAAAAGTTGGTGTGGTTGTAGCCGAGAGCAATCCTTAGCTTTGATACAGTTGATCACAGTATTCTACTACAGAGAATTGAATAGGATGTTGGAATTACAGGAACGGCTCTAAATTGGTTTAAATTATATTTGTCTGATAGATTCCAATTTGTAAAAATGATTCTTCATCATACACCAAAGTTAGTTATGGAGTGCCTCAAGGTTCAGTGCTTGGACCTATACTCTTTACCTTATAAATGCTTCCATTAGGTAAAGTTTATAAACAGCATGGGATAAATTTTCATTGCTATGCTGATGATACATAGTTATATTTGTCTATGAAACCCAATGAATCCAACCAGCTACTTAGACTACAAACATGTCTTAAAGACATAAAAACCTGCATGACCTTAAATTTTCTGCTTTTGAACATAGACAAGACTGAAGTTTTGGTTTTTGGACCTGAGCATCTTAGGAATAATTTTTCAGTCTTTCTCCCTCCTTGGATGACATTAATCTGGCCTCCAGCTCTAATGTTAAAATGGTTTGTGTTATGTTTGATCAGGACATGTCTTTTATCCCCCACATTAAAAACATTACTAGAACCTCCTTCTTCCATCTGTGTAATATCCCTAAAATTAGAAACATCTTATATTAAAATGATGCCGAAAAACTGGTTCTTGCATTTGCCACGTCTAGACTGGACTATTGCAATGGTTTGTTCTCTGGGTGTCCAAATACTTCTTTAAAAATTCTTCAGTTAATCCAAAATGCTGCTGCCAGGGTCTTAACTAGAGTTAGTAGGAGAGATCATACGTCTCCAATTTTAGCTTCTCTCCATTGGCTCCCTGTCAAATCCAGAATTGAATTCAAAATTATATTTCTAACCTACAAAGCTCTCAACAACCTAGCTCCATCTTCTATTTGATATCTTGTTGTTCCATATCTTCCTAATAGAGCACTTTGCTCAGACTGCAGGCTTACTTGTGGTTCCTAGAGTTTCCAAAAGCAGAATGGGAGGAAGATCTTTCAGTTGTCAGGCTCCTCTCTAGTGGAACCAACTTCCAGTTTCTGTCTGTGAGGCTGACTCATTGTCCAGTTTTAAGACTTTCATTTTTGATAAATCCTATAGTTAGGGTTGGCTTGTTATGCTGCCATAGACTTAGACTACTGGAGGACAAATTGACCTCATTTCTTAAAATTAATTGTTAAAATTGAATAGTTTTCATTTGATATTATTTCTATCTTAACGTGATTCTTGACCAGCCATTGTGTATCTGTTCCTACCAAACCGACAGTGTTGAAGCAGATGGCCGCTTGTCCTGATTCTGCTAAAGGTTTCTTCCTCATGAGGGAGTTTTTCCTTTCCACTGTCGCCTTCATGTTTGCTCAAGATGAGAGTTCTGTGATGAAGTTAAACTCTAAGCAGTCTGCTCCTCAAATAAATAATGTTAAATTATTATATATATGAATGTTTCTGTTCAGTGACCTGAGATGACTTCTGTTGTGACTTGGTGCTATATACATAAGCTGAACTGAATTGAAATTGAATTGAATTCTTACATCAAGTACAAATGGATCCTACAACGATGCATGCAGTTGAGCTTAGTTATTTTCAAGATTTGACCAAAACATCTATAAATCAACTATTTTTCAAGATAATATGCTCATAGTTCCAAACTCTGATATGAAAACAATGGGTGATATGCATTCTTCTAAAGCATGCCAGACCTTTAAAGTTGTTTACGATAACATTTTCAAACATACAGTATGGCATTTAATAATATAAATATTCTGTCATGCCAAACTGATCATGTAAATGCCTATTAAAGATTTTTTTAAAAGCTCTTGAACTATATCATAATTTAAATTTACAGTGTGTGATTTGCAAAGATGTTTAATTGATCGTGTTTAAAAATAATTAAAAAAAATCCTACCATGAAGAAAGGCTCGGTGCAGTTTTTGTTTTACAGCAGCTCTCTTTCACAAACACTTCTCAAAAACATCTTGTCCTGAATCTTTAATATCTCTGAGACTCATGATGCAAAATGGTTCCTATTGTGCAACTTGTCTTCTCTATCATCAGCATATTTAATCAGTTCCGTTTGTGAAACACTCTCTTCCTCTTTAAAATAGCATTGAAGGAAAAAGAATACTCAGTAAGTTACTGAAACATCTTTGGAATCGCACTGAATACAAAAAGCCACTAATTTTTATATGAAAAACAAAATGCTGCAAAGATTTATTTACTTTATATCATAGTTAACATGCAATCCAAACTAAAGTGGCTAATGTCATAATAATAATAATTGTGTTTCATGCTCTTTTCTGATATGTATAAAGAAAAGGCCGTGAACTGTGTGGTAATTTAAAAAAAAAAGTTCAACACAAAACAGTGGTAACTTGTGTTTTGTATCATTGCATAACTTACTTTTAATGTCTGTTCAGCAGTTTGGATAAACTGAAACAACCATCTGTTTTCGCAAAAAACATGTTTTCTGCTGTTACTCATCTCTAGGAACAAAATCATAACTTCTCCTTTTTTTTACCCTTTTCATTTTCTACAGTAATCAAAGAACATTTTGCAGCATATGTTTGATTTCTTTTTTTTTCTGTTTCAATTCATTTTACTTGTTTATAGACCAGTTTGAAGGGGCTCACTGAAAACTAAAAAAAAAAAAAATCAAACATAAAGAGGTTATGTGGGGTTAATTCAAATAGTTCAGCTTGAAAGAGTTTACTCCAGTAGTTTTCCAGATGTGTTGTGCTGAAATGTGGGTCCACTCTCAATGTAAACAAGGTCAAATGTTTGTTTTTCTACTGGACTTCAGGGAAAGACTGCACAATATGCCCAGAGGTCAGAGTATTGTAAACAGACTAAAACTATTATAAAACTTTTCCTCTTGTCTTGATATTATTTTGTTACAGAAAGTCAGCCTTGGATGGTTTTAACTCAGCAGGGTTGGGTCATCAGTTTGACCAAACACATGGGGTTAAGTTTTATACTCAAAAATTAAGTTAAAGGAATTATTTTGTTGATTTATAGCTACTAAAACATTTAATGGTCA